GGGCACAGTGGGTCAAGCTCGCGGAACCCACAAGGTTCAAAAATTGTCGTCCATCTCTGTCCCTCTCTTGAAGAAAAAGTTTCATGACTTGAGTTCTGGAAATCGTTGTTCATTGTTCGATAAACTTCGCGTGAGTTCGGCTCTATTCTTCACATTGTTAATATACAAGTTGGGAAACGCATCTGTAGCCTAACAACTCACGTCCAACGATCTCGAAAGTCGCAAGGAGAAGTATACCGGGCATGAAATGTAATATTTCATATTTCTGTGAGTAACACATATTTCGCTCTGATAAATATTAAGCGAGCTCAAGCTCAAGTTGCTCCAGAAATTCGAAACTGTTATCTTTCATCGATTTTTACCGAAATTGGAATGTATCGATACATTTTAGTAACACTTCCAAATATCAAATTTCACGAAAATTTGTTCAGCGTTTAACGAAATCTTTGCTGCATAAAGATGGGCACATTTCAATAGGCGCTCTTTAGGTTTGCGAAGCGGCAAAACTAAATAAATAAATAATATCATAATTGCAATTTCTATTTAATATAGGGCAAATTTAATCAGATCTACGAAAATTAATATCAAATTTTAATCAGTATGTTGGATTGGGTTTTCTCACGGTACTAACTACGAACATTGCTCTTCTGAACTATATCAGCATTTGAGGAAAGCAGTCTTCTGGGATTTGGCACCGTGTATATGTGGTGTTAACGCCACATATACACGGTGCCAAATCCAAGAAGACTGCTTTCTTCATAGTCACCGCCGTGAAAGCCTCAAATCTTACATATAAGAAGTCAGTTACGAGACAGTCTGTCGTTTCGGAAGAACCTAACACCTCCATTTTCAAGCAGAGCTCTGCTTGCCTTCTATTTTTGCTGCTTTATTGTTTGGCTTATCCTTCGACCGTGGAGATGGAGTCGATATTTTACTCCGAAACGTCAATCTGTCTCCGGTTCACACGGTATTACAGCCCAGAGACTGTATTCTGCTATGCAGTATATCTGAAATGTGATCAACTTCTTAACATTATGACTGAATTGGAAGTAATTTTTATCAGCAAGAAATGAATATTAGTATCAACATAGCACGCAAAATCGTTAATTACGTTAGGAAAACACGTTTATCCCAAGCCCAAGTACATCCTTATATTCACTTGTACTGATACAACTTACAGTTGTATCCCCTTAAACTTCCTAACCTGAATTCCAACCCACCCACCCTTATGGAGCTAATGCGTTATGCTTCCCGGTTCGGTGGGGGTTGAAGGAAGGGTCAGAGAGAAGTGCTCCCCCACAGAGCCCTTCTGCACGCACAACCCTTCACTTCCACCCGCGGTGCCATTAAATCACACATCCTCAGGCAGTGAAGAACTCAATCCCGCCAACGCAAATTTACGTCTTTCTGAACCTCTCTGGAGGGCATGAGGAAAACCACATATAACCTCACTTAGGACAGATGGTCTCCAGGCCAAAATTTGAATCTCGCAACCTACGAACACGATGCAATTGCCCCATCCGCTCCATTCATTTCAAATAACGTCAAAGTTTTCAGTTCCTTGTTAATTTGATATTCCCTGTGGTGTTAGCAGCAATTCTGAAGACGGCTGACCTGTGGACAACTGTTAATTAACCTCTCTGTGACGTTTGTGATAAATATTTATTCACTTCTGGCAAGACAGCATTTGTTAGTCCAACTTGTTTGGTATATCCATTTGCACACAAGTGTCGGTACAGATGTTTCCGTAACTAAAACACTCAAGACAAGTCTTGACTGTGTATAGCGATGCTGTGCTTCAGGGAAAGCGATCAATGTATGGGGCGTCTTCCACAGTCTTGAGTATGGAAGGTGGAACAGTTTCCATTATCAGGTTAGCAGAGGTAGTTTCCCAGTTTGGTCTGTTATAATAGAAGGGGTTAGACTCAACCTATGGAGAAGCGCTGTGACTGGGAGAACGCAAAATAACCAACGGACAAGATCCAAAATAGAAATATGTATTAATTGCAACATTCAGAATCCTTTAGATCTACAACCGGTTATAACCGGTTTGGGCTTCTCTCTTTAGAAAACCCCGTGATCAAGACCGGAAATTTCTTGCGAATCGAACTGAGTAGGCGACTTCTTCCCTTATACCCGATGATGGAAACACATTCAGTTTCCGAAACGTTTTGTTTGACTAAACTCTAGGCAACGTATATTGCCCAAACTAATGGCCAAGTCCAGTAAAATGTTTCCTTTTACTACTGCGTAATTCTCTTCTCTATAAACGAACAAGTTCTCTCGAGCGCTAACAGGATTCGAACCACTGATCCTTTGCTTGTCCAGCTCTTAGACTAATCTCTACACCGACTGAGCCATACCGGCTCTCTTTATATTGTCACGTGTAGGGGTGACTATTAGGCGGGGTAGGGATTGGTGTGTGGATTTATTGGCCACTTATACACACAACTCGGGGCTACAAGTAATTACAGCGCTACCGCTGATCTCCGCAGTTTACATTTCATTACAGCACCCGCTAGGACTTTTCCAGCCTGCTGTGGCTTAACCAGCCGTTCCCTGGCAACGGCTTCTAACAGTGGAGATTCCTCAGCTTCCCGCGATCACATCGTTCCTTCGCCAACTCTCGTAGATAACTGCATGCCAGCTACCACTCCGGAACTCTCAATCCAGTTCTCTCCTGCAAGTGCCATCTGTCAACTGTCACGCTGCCATCTCTTCTCTTGGATCCTCGTTATATAGCCTCAGGGCGAACCCAACAGAAAAAAACCGTTTCCATTGTTATAGTCCAAGAATCTCGCGATTGTTGGTTGCGTATTCTTTGCCGCGGGAACGTGTTTACCGAGCCATTGCTTAGCAATGGACGTCTCTGTGGCTCCATTATTTCAGCCTTCTGACGTCATGTCACAATATAAAGTAGACACAGGGCAAAACACGTGACTGGAAAAGATACAGAGGTAAAGCTATCCCTGTAACAGTCTTGCGAGACGTCGAGGCTCCCACATTTACTAGACAGTCGGCTCACAGATGGCGGTAAGGCTGTCAGGCATACGCGCCGGCTGCCCTTTACCTGCCAGGAAGCTTCCTGATACTCATTTCTGTTAGAGGCTGAGTGGAACCCAGGACCATATTGCGACTGGAAGGATTAGATAAATTGAAAAAAAAAACCGATTACATCAGGAATCGAACCCGCGACCTTCCGGCTTGTAACATGTTGCCTCAACTAACTACACTACCGCGTGCCCAACAGATACAGAGGAAGGAGCTTAATTTGTGATCTTAACCCACAGATCTTAAGGCCAGTACATCAAGAAGCGATAGATGAAACGTGAAGAACATCAACCACAACACCTCTGCCCAGATTCGAACCTGACCCGCATGTGCCGTATGTAGTAAAGTTATTCATTAATTTTCCCGTGAGAGAGCGTTCAGATCGGCCAATCCGGTAAGCGTGTACGGATGGTACGAATATGGCTTGCCTTGCAAATACCATAACAAAGTCATAATCAGTTGCATGTTGGTGCTAATGCTCTCATTAGCATGCGGGAACACTCGCTAATACAGATCTCACCGCTCGGCACGGTTCGTACACAGGCTCGGCCCTTTGGTCTCTGCTATGGAGTCTGGCAATTCGAACGAAGGCGTGGAAGTCAGAATCTCCTTCTATATAGACGAATATTGTAAGCGATGAGGAGCTGCAGAACTTGTACCCTTCTCCAAGTACAATTAGAATGATCAAATCAAGGGGGATGAGGTGGGTAGGGCATGTAGCACGAATGGGGGAGAAAAGGAATGCATATAGGATATTGGTGGGAAAGCCAGAAGGAAGGAGACCTCTGGGAAGACCAAGGCGTTCGGTGGACAATATTAAAATGGATAGGATGGGATGGATTGGATTGATCTGGCTCAGGATAGGGACCAGTGGAGGGCTCTTGTGAACACGGTGATGAACCTTCGGGTTCCATAAAATGCTGGGAAATTCTTGAGTAGCTGCAGATTTGGCTTCTCCTCAAGAAGGCCTCAGCTCCATGAGTAAGTAAGTAAGTGTTACTATTTTACACCAACCTTGTTGAAAAGGCGGTTATCGTCCGATCACGGAAGTTAAGCAACATTGGGCATGGTTAGTATTTGGATGGGTGACCACGTGGGAACAGTGGCCGTCTGTGTGTGCGTTTATTCTGTTTGTAGGCAGCGGCCTTGTGATGGGCTGATCCCCCGTCCAAGGAGACTGTGTGTAGGATCAAGAAACTGAAAAAGCGACCAAGGCCCAACAGAGGGCTGTTGCAATTCCCCTTCCTTATGCTCCCACCAGTTGTCTAAATATTCCCCTCACATGAATCTCAACAGTGAAAATCCTTGCAATAACCCCACTCACTCACTCACTCACTCACTCATTGAGTTCTAAGAGCCTCGAGAAGCCGCTAATTGTGAAGCTACTCAAGAACTTGTGGAACCCGAAGGTTCATTACCGTGTTCATAAGAGCCCTCCACTGGTCCATATCATGAGCCAGATCAATCCAATCCATAACATCCTATCCTATCTGAGATCCATTTTAATATTGTACCAGAGATACGGGCCTTGAGTGGAACACGTCTTGGTGAGCGCTGGAGGGGAGTACAGACAGGAGGGAGGAGGTTACGAACGCCGTCATCCCCACCAACGTTGGGGCGCCTTTACGTGGCTTCAGTATGCCTTGGTTAAACACTGTATGCACCAAAACAACGCTAAAATCCATGAGTAACGTAACTAATTTGCCTTTCTTGAGGAGTTGAGAGCCACGCAAATGGAAAAAATTTCGTCACAAATTCAGTTTTCACTTGCCGTGGCGATCTATTGTGAGTTGCTAAACCTGGACCCTGCTCTGTGAATGAGTGCATTGGATTGATCTGGCTCGGGATAGGGACTGGTATTTGAACCTTCGGCCTTTATAATAGGCGAAGAATTTTGTGACCAGGTAAGCAAATACCAGCTTCTTGGGTAGGAGCTAGTTACGGCTTACCAGACAGGAACACCTCCCGCAGGGCCGGTGGGCTGGCCAGAACGCTGTGCCCAAGCTGCTTCAAGTTGTTCCCTCGCAAATCCAGAACCCTGAGCTTCTTCAGCCGCGAGAACGTGGAGTCCACGACTGAGTCCAGCCTCAAGCCGGACACGTTCAGCTCCTTGAGAGAGGACATACCAGGCATCACCAAACGAACTCTCTCGAGCAACTGACAGTTGCTCAGTGAGTCAAGAAAATCCACACTTTTCATCGAACCCGAAAGTTCGTTACCATATTCACAACATCCCGTCGCTGATCCATATGCGCAGCGAAATATATCCAGTTCACACACTCTCATCCTATTGGCTTAGAATCCATATTTATGGTTTCCTCCCATCGATGTCTAAGTCTTCCAAGTTGCTACTCCTTTTAAAGATTTTACGATTAAAAATTAAAAATTATAAAAGAAAAAATAGGTTTCTTTAAATTGACGAAGGTCAGTAATATATTGCATGGCAAAATCATGACGTAAAGATAGCTAACAGATGTTTTGAAAATGTGGCACAGTTCAGATATTTGGGAACAAAACAAATCAAAACCTGATTCATGAGGAAATTAAGAGGCGATTGAACTCGGGGTAATGCTTGCTACCATTCAGCCCAGAACCTTCTGTCTTCTCGTCTGCTGTCCAAAAACATAAAAATTAGAATATACAAACCTATAATTTTGTCTGTGGTTCTGTATGGGTGTCAACTTGGCCTCTGACATTAAGGGAGGAAGACAGACTGAGGGTGTTTGAGAACAGGGTGTTGAGGAGAATATTTGGACCGAAGAGGGATGAAGTGACAGGAGGTTGGAGAAAACTGCATAATGAGGAGCTTCATAACTTGTACTCTTCTCCAAGTATAATTAGAATGATCAGGTCAAGGAGGATGAGATGGGCAGGGCATGTAGCATGAATGAGGGAGAAGAGGAATGCATATAGGATATTGGCAGGAAAGCCAGAAGGAAAGAGACCACTAGGAAGACCAAGGCGTAGGTGGGTGGATAATATTAAAACGAATCTTATAGCGATATCATGGGGTCATAAGGACTGGATTGATCTGGCTCAGGAGGAGAACTCTTGTGAACACGGTCATGAACCCTCGAGTTCCATAAAGGGCTGGAAAATTCTTGAGTAGGTCCGCAACTGGCGGCTTCTCAAGAGGAGCTAAGCTCCATGAAGTTAGTTACTTGCATTCAATGCTTCTGTTCCCATTTGTTTTGAAGACCCACTTTACTATTATCCTGCCATCTGACAGCTCAGTCGGTAGAGCGAGTAGGCTACGGGTTGGACGGTTGAGGAGATGGGAATCGATTCCTGGCAGAGGCAGGCGCCCACACCAGCCGGCGTTACTGTACAGTGGCTTAGCAAACTGCATCACAGTGACCCGACGTGGGGTGTCTGCTCTTCCCTTACGTTTCTAGACGTGTGTGGTTAGGATTAACGCGAAGAAGGGCGCTGGAGACGTGTGGTGACAGCGGAAAGCCATTAGCGAGCAGCTCCAGGGAGTTGCGAACTGGTAATGGCGGAGTTACCGCTAGAAGACTTAACCGCAGCTGAAGCTGCAGCCACACTTGTCTGGCTTCCTGCGCCAGGAGCGGATAGTCACTGAGGAAACGAACCCGAGAAATACTTGTCGTGTGCACAAGAGCTCACCACTGATCCCTATTCAGAGGCAGCTGAATCCAATAACGCCGTCATATCCTCGACGGGCTAGTTGGCCGGGATTCAGTTCCTGGCACGGGAAATAGATGTTTTCTCGTCTCTACAGTGCTCAAACCGGTTCTCGAACCTCCCAACTATGTTTCGTTGGGGATAAAGCGGTCGAGACGTGAATCTAAACACTCACCTCTATCTAACAACGAGGTAAAGAATAGTGGAGCTATACTCCACCGCCCTACGTCTTAATGGGATGATGCTCAACAAGCACAGGGACGACTTATAACTTAATTTTTCAACTACGCACTCAAATCTCATGTCTTTAAGTAAAGTAAAAAGAAAAAGTAAAGCTATCCCTGTAACAGGCCGAGAAGGCCCACAGGGTTGTGAGACGTCGAGGCTCCCACATTTTCTAGACAGTCGGCTCACAGATGGCGGTAAGGTTGTCAGACTTACGCGCCGGCCGCCCTTTACCCCCAGGAAGATTCCTGATACTCATTTCTGTTAGAGGCTGAGTCGACCTCAGGGCCATAGTGCGGCTGGAAGGATTAGGTCAATTGAAAAAATTCAATGACCTCATCGGGACTTGAACCCTCGATCTTCCGGCTTGTAGCATAGTGCCTCAACTAACTACGCTACCGCGTGCCCTCCATGTCCTTAAAAAAAATATATATATATTATGTTCCTATCTAAGACAAGATATTCCAAATTATCTCAAATTTAAGATTTTCCGGCTAAAATTCTGTGTGTATTTCTTAACTACCAGTACATGTCACGTGCCCTGTCCGTCTTATCTTTCTTGCTTCGACAGTTCTCAAAATGCTTGGCGAAGAGTATAAATTCTGAAGCTTCTAGTGTGTAATCTTCTGCGTTCGTTTAACACTTCCTCTCTCTTAGGTCCGTACAAATATTCTCTTCAGCATCCTGTTATCAGACACCCCTACTCAATATTCTTCCCTCAGGAGAGTGACCAAGTTCGACACCCATATCAGACATATGATAACCCTATACTTCTTCACAGCCAGTATTACTATTGGGATTACTGAAGCGAGACACGAAGGCAACTAAAAGATGAAGTTGTCCCTGTGCTTAACTATTTAAGCACTATACCATGAAGGCGTAGGGGGGATTGTTATATACATCCACGTTTTCTTGATCTCAACACTAATTGGAGGTAAGTGGTCAGTTTTACGTCTCGGCTGCTTTACTCCCAGGGAAAGAGCCCTCAGTACCCATTGGATAGGAGGCTGGGTTGGGCCCCAAATCCGGTCTGGACGACACAGTGAAAAGAAAATCCTTGGCCCTACCGGGACTCGAACCCCCCGCCCCTGGGCCAGTAGTCAGTCGCTATCCCGGGTCCTAGGAGGCAAGGCACAAGGGGCCGCTGTGCTGTGACTGGAGCACGTAGCGCAAGCCACCTGTCACACACAAGTACTCGTACCTGCAGCTCCTTCAGTTCACCACCGAACTCCTTCAGCTGGCTGACGTCGCTGTCCCTCAACGTCAGGTTCCTCAGCTCCGGGAAACGGAACTGGATGATCTGAGGGTCGAAGCTGGAGTTGGGCCAATGACAAAGTGTCAGCTCTCGTACCTGTCGCCTGGAACAAATCGGTAAGACCAGATAAGTTAAGGAATTAAGCGCTGCGCCATGAAGACGTGTTGGGATGTGAAGATCCTTGATCTCGGCACTAGATGGATGTAAGTAGTCAGCTTCAAGGCAACGGCCGCTTTACATCCCGGGAACAAACCCTATGTACCCACTGGCTACGAGGCTGGGTGGGCCCGAGGGCCAGTCTGGTTGCTGTGGAGAAGAGAAAAATCTGTTGCCCCGAGCCGGAATCAAACCGAAACCATCCAGCTCGTGGCCTGTCGCTATGCCGGCTGAGCTGTCCGGACTCGAAAACAGTTTCGATATATTCACTGAGAAAGTGACATATAATCTCCTGAACCTCGACACATCCACGCTGTATCAACTAGTGAGGTTATTTATGTGACTGAAAACTGAAAGACATTTCATTAATATCATGAATATCCAGGAATGCTTTTATCGCCAGGTTCGCATGACACAAACCGGTATCATATGCTGTGGCCACAAAGTACACGGTCCAGACTGTTTCTGCAATGGAACTGAAGCTTTTCAAGAAACTGACTCACCTTAATGGAACATGAAAATTCATTTTCGTGCTCAAAAGAGATCACCACTGGTCTCTACCTTGAGCCAGAATAATCCAGACCACAAGCTATTTTTTTAAGATACATTTTAATAATATGATACCATCCATTCCCAGGTCTCCCAAAAGGTGTCTTCCTTCCATTTTTCCAATTCAATTTTACATACATTTCTCATCTCCCCCCCCCCTTCATGACTTTATGCTCTATGCATCTCTCTGTCCTTGATGTTATCGTTCTAATAAAGAACTCACGCCAGGGAGCAGGGTCTTTCTTGAGAAGCTGATAGTCACTCCGACAGCCTACAAATTTTCCGCCTTTTCTCTGTGCTCTAGTGGTCAGCGTTCCTGGCCACAGATCCAAAGGTCCGGGTTCGATTCCCGGCGCTACCAGATTTTTTTCAGACAAGTAGTGGGTCTGGAACGGGGTCCACTCAGCCTCGTGATGATAATTGAGGAGCTATTTCAAGGAAATAGCGGCTCCGGTCTAAAAAACCGAAATTAACGGCCGTGGGGATTCGTGTCGCTGACCACACGGACACTCTCTATCCGCAAAAGTTGGCACTAACTTGGCCGACAAGCGGTAGTAGCTCGGTCGGTATAGTTTGCTTGCGGACTACAGGCCACGCATTTTTCTTTCACAACCCGAAGGTTCATTACTGTGCTGGGTGCCAGTTTGACTGCTGAGACGATGCTCTGTCGAGATACAAACACAACTGCTTTAGTTCAGTCCAGCTGAGCACTACACCAGTACGTTCTGAACTGACGCAAGTCTGTTTCCGCCCCTTCCTCCCGATCCCGCAAGTGTCAAGATTAGAGTCTGTGTTAGTGTACGGGCCAGGTTACCGCCTCAATAATTATACAATTTTACTACTATTCAGTACGTATGAACACTTGAGCTCCTAAAGTAGGGACACTAGAGATGGCACTCAAAACGGTTTCAAAGTTTTTGATCATACTGTAATCACAGACAGAGGCGGTGACCCAAAAATTGTTTCGTTCGAATAAAAGGGCACCTGTTGGGTCTCAATCATACGTTTTTCTTTTTCAAAATTAGCCCCTATGGATTTTATTACATTTCCTCAATTTGTACAACTCACATTCCCGTGCTTGTCACGGATGAATATACCCTTTATGCTTAAAGCACATAATTTTTCTGGAATGTTTATTTTACGATAACACAAAGCTGCGATCTGTCAAGCGTGTACGCTACAGTGTGTGTAATAAATCTGCACCTATGTTTTGCTTTACAAAATGTTATTATGAAGCGACAATATTCTATATAATTTGTAAGCGTTGAGTCTACACCCTTTCACTGTCTACACAAAGATAAACGCGTGTATAGGCTATGTCACACAAAGGGTAAAAAGATAAAGCTGTCCCTGTCCTTAACTAACTAAGCACTATGCCATGAAGGTGTATGGGGGGAGTGGATGTATAGATACACATTTTCTTGACCTCGGCAATAGCTGGAGGTGAATGGTCAGCTTCACGCTTCTGCCGATTTATCCCCAGTGGAAATCCGCCTGAACCCATTGGGTAAGAGGTTGGGTGAATCCCAGAGCCGGTTTGGAAGACATGGATAAGTGAAAATTCTTGCCCCCACCGGGACTCGAATTCGGACTCCTTGGTTTTCCAGCCCGTAGCCAGTCGCTATACCGACTGCTCTATACGCTCTCTTAATCAATAGGGATCATTTCAAATAACTAGCAGACTGCAATTCAATAAGCACAAAGTAAAACTTGGAAAATTCGCTTCCGCACATGCGCAGTAGAGAGACGCGTGAACCCTTTAGAGTCAGAGTTACTGTCAATCAGTTCGTCTTGGCGACACGCCCCTCGAGACTTAACGACCAAGCATTTCTTTTTAACTTGACCCTTGCCGCTATTGTCCTTATGTGTCATCCTCTCTGACGTGAGGATGGGTCCGTAGTTCACAATTTCTGATGCCTAGCAATGGACGTCTCCTCTGGCTCCACTATTCCGACATTCAGGAGTCATGTCACAATATTAAATACTACGATATTATAGCTCGTATATTATTATTATTATTATTATTATTATTATTATTATTATTATTATTGGATAATATTTTGTAGTTTTAGTTGAAGTTGAAAATTTCGAATGTTACACAGGGGGCGGTCATTCCTTGACCGATCTGAGTAATGTCCAGGTTCTCAAGAATTCTGCTCCATGAGTTTTGTCAGGATCATGAGGACACGGGTGTCGCGAGGGAATTACGTGAAACGTGCACGGAGATACAAGAAATGCATACTGAGTTTCGATTTGAAATCGTAGTGGTGAGTTATTCATTCTGATACGAAGTTGTTTTCATTTTATTTACGGTTCACTTAAGGACGCTGTCAGTAGCGCAGACTATACAGGGTGCCCCAGGAGGAAAGGTCAGTATTCTGGGAGGTCACAGTATCGGTCATTCTAAGCACGAAAGTGTATATGTACATGTGTCCTGTTCAGAACGGTTTCCGAGACAGAGCTATTTCACTGTACAGTTCCCAAACTGTTGATAAGAAAGAGACATTACGTGCTGTTTCTAATGCCGCTATTAGGGTATTCGGAGTAGGGTGCAATGGCATCCTTTTATGATGACGATGATGAACATCCAGTTTCACAACAACGAGAAGTGCCTTGAACAGTTACACATATATCGACTGTTCACGCAGCACCGTAACAGACGGTTATGTATTCGAGACCTGTAGTCAGGGGCAGCGAGATCCAAACTGCCGAGTGTTGAGGCACGATTTTGGGGGCCGCACATCTTACAGCCCCTTTCGGGCATGAAGATAATTTATTATGTTCTTTTGTTCATACCGTAACCGTTAATTGCCAGTGATTCAAATATGTCACCTACCTACCTACCTACCCTTCTCCCTACCTACACACCTACCCACCCACCTACATACCTACCTTCCTACCCACCTACCTACCTCCCTACGTACCCACCTACCCATCTACCTATCTATCTTTGGTTCCTGTTGCTATCGCTTGGAGTGTAGGGCATCCGAGAAACCTTTCGTTTCAGTTCAGTTTTGTAATCTTAAACAGACGGTAGGAGTCCTTTGACGGGGATCAGCCAGTCGCAAATTCGCTACCTACGCAGGACAACACAAACACAGAATAAATGTAAACATACATCCATGCCTCGAGTGAGATTCGTACCCACGATCCCAGCGTTTGAGAGAGAGAAGACGGCCCATGCCTTAGGCCGTGCGGCCACTCTGACCGGCAAGCACGTCATAAAGCGAAGTCCGGGGAAAGTGGGGGTGGGGGTGGAATTTCACTTCGACGGCGAAATACCAAGCACGAGACGATAAGCAGTAGTTTCCTACGTGACTAATGATAATGAGCCGCGCATCCGGTACCCCAGCCAGCCAGCAAGCTGCTGGTGTCTGTGCTCGCCAATGCTGGCTTATCTATCGGCAGAGCGTCACAGCTGAGCACTGCCCTGTGGCAGGGGAGATCATTGCGTCAATCATTTAAAGTGCAATGATTGTTATGTGTATTGCTTGCTTTAAAGGAGCCGGTATAGCGACTGGCTACGGGATGGACGACCGAGGGGTCGGAGTTCGAGTTCCGGTAGGGTCAAGAATTTTCTCTTCTCCACGTCGTCCAGACCGGCTCTGGGGTCCACCCAACCTCCTATCCAATGGGTACCGGGGGCTCTCCCCGCGGGAGTAAAGCGACCGGGGCGTGAAGCTAACCATTCACCTCCAGCTAGTGTTGTGGTCATGAAAGTATGGAACTATACATCCACTTCCCCATACTCCTTCATGGCGTTGTGCTTAAATTCGTCGAGTTCATCTGTTACCATACAGATTACATCATTTCCGGATCCTAAACTGAATGGCGCTAGTGTCGTTTCCCCACCTCATAAGTTCACGCGAACGCCATATTCTTATTACCAATTGTAGGGAATTAAAAAAAATACGAAGCTGGGGTTACCCGTAATGGATTAACTGCTGTGCCATGTTTCGTGAAAATCGACTGGATAAAAAGAAAAAAGAAAAGAGGGCACACGTCGTGATCTCAACGCCATTTTCCTTTCCGTACGTAAGAAAATTCAGCTAAGATCTAAATAGAAGAAAGCTCGGGGGCTCGTCACTGAGTTGCTGACAAGTCGTAATTCAAGTGTCACGAGAAGTATCCTTCCTTCGGGTTGCCTTGGCAACGTTCTTTACATGAAGAGCAGGTTACTGGAGCGTTAGATTATCCGCTTTCCAGGAACGCTTATGGCAGTATACGTCACACAATTCAGCACTGCAATTTCCATTGCAGATTTCCATGACTTTGATCTCGGAGCCGCAAGGGAAAGCGGCGTGGGGCGCGCGGCTGGTTTCATTGCAGAAATTGAACCCTCCCTCGCTAAGATAAATGGGTCACTAATCGCTTTTTCAGCTGTTTATTCAGAGTGGTGGCATAATGACAGACCTTAAATCAAACATGAACTAAACACTTCCTGCGTGTTATTTACATCGGTACGTGTGACGTGACATGGAGCGCAAATTACACAGTGACACTTAACCCTTCAGAATTCCGATTAAAGTGACCGCGCGTGGATTAAAGCAGTGTGTTAAGGTAAGTGTTAAGGTAAAGGCCTTAGGGTTGGGCCACACAGAGCGCTACGTACGCGATGCACGCTACGTACGCTATGTTCCCCATGTTAGCTGCGTCGCAGAGTGTACACAGCGTATGTAGCGTACGTAGTGAACATAGCGTAGAGCTCTGTGTGGCCGAACCTTTACGGTGGGCTGATCCCCCGTCCAAGGAATCTTACTGTTTATGTATAGGATTACGGCACTGAGAAAGCAACCAATGCCGAACAAAGGGCTGCAGAGCAATCGATAAACTCTTATATGTAACACTTGTCTTAACATAAAAATCTCCAAATTTTGTTCATCATCATCATCATCATCATCATCATCATCATCACTGGGACTTCCGGGATCGTGGGTTCGAATCCCACACAAGACTATTATTATTAATTTAAAATCTGCATACTAATCATACTGTAACGTTCCCACCTCATGACTCAAGGTACGCGGGTTCAAACCCGGCGGAGGTCGTGGAATTTTTAAGGGCGGAAAAATTCAGAGAACAAGTCCTCCGGCAGGGACTTTAAGCCGTGGGTCCCGTGTCGTAGATTTACGGCACGTAAAAGAACCTCATGTCTCTAGGAGACCTCTGAGCTAAATTAGGCAAATTTTCCCGCCCAAGTAGTTTCCAATGCCTCCGGTAGTTGGGGAAAGTATTAGGTACCACTGCCAGATGAGGATCGACCTCGCTGACAGAAAGGGACTAATTATCAGATACCACTGCCCGTAGAGGGCCGACCTCGCTGGTAGAAAGGGGCTGATAACGACCACCAGTACCGGTAGGGTATGGGGACAGTAGAAATTAAAGGGGGATGCCCAGTGGACCAATAACTGGTCTAAGTGCATGGGGAAACCCACCTCCTCCAACAATGAATGAATCCTACTGCGACGCACACAGGACATCCCACGTGTGTCGCAGGCCCCGAAGGTTGA